GCCATTAATAACCTCTATATACAGACATTCAGCAAAAATTTTCCCCTCGAGATGAGCGCTTAACAGCCCCTGCGTGCGGGTTGGCAACAATTCAGTGGAAGAATGCTCTTGCAGCAAGTCGGCGCTAGGCTGCGCCGTGGTCAAAAATGGGTGTCGTAAATCCAAAACCGAAAAACGTATAAAGTATCCGAAAAATGCAAAGAGTTAGTCGCCAAGGGGATCCGATCCAAGAACCTTCTTCGCGAGAGCCCACCGCACTATCCACTCCGCCATCCGCCGACCGCGAAACAGCGGTTGCGAGAATCGTTCAAGTAACTTCGGTATTACTCCCCTCCGTCCACTTTCTTATTGGCTTTACTTTGCTATCTTTTCAATACATAGTGAAGGGACACCTCATGAATTATGCACTGTCAAAGTTACAGCTACAACAGAGCCCATTAACACGGTTAAAATCGCGATTTCTCGTCAAATTGTTTTCACTCAGTTTTTGACCTCCCCAGAAACGCATAGCAAAAATGAAACCCATTTTTGTAAACCTTGCATGGACCCCTACAACAAGCAACAAACCATTTTTAAAAAACGCGCCACGACCTCAAAGACCTCCCTTGTGAGAGCACTATCAAAAGTAAATTAATTTCTCTAAGTAAGGGTTATAAGCTTACATTTGAAAGATGCAAAGGGTGCGGAGTTGAGAAACTCAAATATGACTTCATTACTAAGGATCATGAGCATATATTTCTTAGCTAACCGGATCGGCTTTGGTGGCTTTTATGCAGAAAGAAACTAGAAAATGGAACAATGCAAACAGAAGCATTTTCTTTTGCGCCTTGATTTTATTTTTTACAAGAGCATACGTTGAAAGGAACTGAACTGAGGGGACGGAAGAAAAGAAAAAAGTGTTGGGTAGGATTTCTGTGGGTACAAACCGTCCCAAATGATTCAAGCGCAATATGTACGTCTTTATAAGATTTTTCCGCACCGCATGGTTCGCATTAATGTAAGATTGACGAGACCTTAACTAAAGACACATGGTACGCTCACACACATTGAGGGTGTATGTGACTATCAGCCCCCAGCTGTCGATGTGTCGTGGTTTCCCCGCCCGAAACTGCACGGGGTTAGAGTACAGGGCCGTGGGAAAGTCTAATTCGTCCATGCTCCGCCTACCGTTTATGCTAACAGCCGTTCCGCGCGGCGCGTGTCGCGCGCAGCTCTCTTGGCTTTTTGCCAAGTCCTGTAATTGCCCTTTGGAATACAAGTAAAACGCAATTTCCTGATGCGGATAACATTTTAGGTGCTGCAAAATAAGAACGAAGATGATGACGAGGGCTAGAACTCAAGAGCAACTGTGCTGCTTCTGCAACATCATTCAGAGGCCGCGCATTCCCACAGAACATGACAATAAAAACGGCCTAAGCGTTCCACTCGTTAGTTTAATACAAGCAAAACGCAATTTCCTGATGCGAATAACATTTGAGGTGTTGCTCATGCTTCAAAGTCCGAATAGAAGGTGATGAAGATGACAAAGGCTAGAAATGAAGAACAACGAATGTAGATGTAAATAAAACAAAAATGAAAAATTCAAGGAAACGCAAATTAATTAAAATCGCGTGTGAATTTCTGCGATTCGTTCTTGAGTTCTGGCCCTCGTCATCATCTTCGGTTCTTATTTTGCAGCACCTAAAATGTTATCCGCATCAGGAAATTGCGTTTTACTTGTATTCCAAAGCGCAATTACAGGACTTGGCAAAAAGCCAAGAGAGCTGCACGCGACACGCGCCGCGCGGACGGTGTTAGCATAAAAGGGGTTTCGCCGCAAGCTGGCATTTTGGGCGGAAGCAATGACGCAAATTCAGACCTTCTCACGGACCTGTACTCTAACGTCATGCAATTTCGGGCGTGAAAACCACTAACACATCGGACAGCTGGGCTGATATCACTCGCCATTCATGTCATGGAGCGTAACCATGTGCCTTCACACTCAACGCCTAATCTCATCAGGGATTTGCACAGAAGCGCCGTTCAACGATGCTGTCTTCTGCTAAGTCGTTTTTATGACTGAGATAATTTTTATGTACTCTTTTCGAGAAGACCCTAGTCAGTTAGTAGTTCAAAAGTCTAAAGTTCAACCTGCTTAAAAATGAGTAGGTGAAGAAACGATATCGTATTCGAATGCATATAAAGCCCTCAACCACCTTTCAGAAGTGTGAATTGGCTGAGAGATTGATTTGCCGTTTTCATCTTCGGTTGCACCTTTTCCAAAACAAGCAAAATTTCTTTTCTCTTCCTTTCTACCCCTTTACAGACTGCACTGACGAGGTGACATGCGCGCGTCTCCGAGTCCGACGGCGATTCAGCGAGTCAACAGAAAAGGTTGAGTATGAGCCCATGAAACCTTTTTTAGTGACACCACCTTGTCATGGGAACCGCGATGTCATTTTGGGGTGTGGGGCATATTGTAAGAAATCAGTCAGTTGGAGTCGTCGCAACACGTGTTTTTTTTTGCTTTATGCTCGTACAGTTACTCGAAGCTTGTGGGGTAATTTACAGGTATCCAAAAGGTGGTCTCTACAAGCTCAGCGGAGTACCGTTCGGTGCCCCAGTCAAGCCGAACTGCGCAAAATTTGTGAAACATGGACTATGTGGAACGCAGTGTTTCTGTTCTACTAGCTGAGTGAAGTAGCACTTGAACGGTGATGACAACCGTGGTTGATCTGAAGCCTCAGATTTAGACTGATAAGAAACATGCCTAGAATAAGAACAAAGCCATAAAAGCTCCACCGACTCCAAGTACGCAGGGTGGCGGCGACTCCCAAGCACTGCCCTTTCTAATTGTTTGCATGGAGAAAAAAACGGCTTGCACTGAGCAAACGAGTGCAGAACAATCTCTCATTACCCTGCGTTCTACCTGGAGCACAACTAACCTAATAGAGAATATAATACTAGTAGATTAGAATACTGATACAAGCTGGATCTCTATATCATGACAATAATATTTGAATACGTCGGTATTTGGTGTCTTGGCTTCCTTTCTTATCGTACGGCAACAACATCGCCGTCTGTTATCTTGGCCTCTGTCTCTCCAGTTTTCCCGTGCTCTCTGGCCACTTTCCGGCCAGTCATCCATTGCTTGTCTGGCCGCCTCCACGATTACAGAAGTATTTTCACAGACCATTTGATAAGATAAGTTCGCTCAGGTGTTGATGATATGGAGAGTGGATCACGCCGCAAACAGCTGCGACCTGCACGAGTGAACGACGACGACGAGCAGCCGTCTCCTCCTGTCACCACCGTACTACGATCTACCGTAGTGTCACCAAGCCAAATGAGTACGTCCAATGGTCGATCGCCATCGGTCAACGACAACACTCAGCCGATGTTCATGAATAACGTCAAGTTCGAAGTGGACGAGGATGAAGCGCCCACCGGCATCGAAATGATGTCGGGTGAAACTCGTGGACCTTTCCCTGTCAAGGAGCTCAGAATGTCCAACAGTGAAGCTGAGTTCGCTATCACGGTGGGTGAGACCTTTGTTACATTTCGCAATACAAAGAGGAACACTCATGATGATTCCGGTTTAAAAAGCATGCGGTTTCAGTTGGTCGACCAAATGGGTAACAAGCACTATTTCGACGTGGATTCCATAGATCCTTTAATAAAAAGGATCAAACCCTGTCCTAACGCCCTCGAAGCAAACTGCATTCTCTTTCATGTCGGTAAGACGCTCTGTTTACTTTTTAATTCATGTTCACCCCTTTTTGTTGTTTATTTTCTTTTATATTTATTTTTTTGCGGTCAGCGCACTCTGTGTACACCATCATAGTGGAACCTGCTCGGAGGGGACGCATTTGAATCCATGTTTGGTACTAATTTTGTTTGAGGGAGGGTTATTGGAAAGGTAGTAACTCATGGCTCCTCTCCCCTAGCAAGTGATGTCGTAGTTTGACCACTTCTCGTAGTTAGACGGCAGCTTTTAAGGTCTCCGGGAAGAAGATATGGAGTGCGTTGTATTGAAAGAATTCCTCTCATCCAGTGATTTTCCCTGAATACAGTGGCCGGAGGCGCCCCCGGAACCTCCTTCAGTACATCAGCAAAACCTTGCTCTCTCTTGGATCTCAGTGCTGACCCTTGGGAGGTTAAAAACACGGACTCATTGCCACTGCACTCCTTTACGTCATTTCGTAGGTCTAGTTGGCGAGCTAGAAATATTCTGATCGAGTGTTGGGTAGTAGCGTATCTAACAGAAATGGGTCAGTCGACCACTGTTACTTCAACCTTTTCGAGGGCTGATGGTCTCTGGGAAGAAGTTTCCTCTAAAAGCCGTGGGCTTTACGCCCGTCATTTGCGGCCTCAAATGAGTGTCGTGCACGATCCACAAAATTACTAACAACTAACCTAA